TAAAAAAAAAAAAAAAAAGTGTAAACCTTTATGCTCTGGAACCTGATTTTGGCTATTTTCTATTGTTTTTTCGGATTTTCATAACCGTACGTTCAAACCCCAAATTTTGTGATCGTTAGGCTTTTAGATTAATTGCCTGGATTTAATTTGTGTTATCATGTCAACCATTTTTCACTTTTTTTTTTCCTCAAATTTGTTTGTTTAACTACTACAACCACAACAGACTATTATTGATATTTTTCTTTTTCCATCTATATCTGGTATTTGATGGATTTTTTTATATATGTAAAAAAATCCTATGGATCCTTGTTCTTTATGTAAATATCCTCAAATCAATTGGTATTCTGTTCAGGTACCTCTTAACAATATGTTTGGTTACTCGACCTCCCTTCGGTCAATGACTCAGGTTAGATAGACAATGAATTGTCCTGAACATTTTCAGGTTAAGGAAATTGAATTAAATTAGATAAAAACATATTTATACTCGAACTTCATTTCCTCAGGGCAAAGGTGAATTTACGATGGAGTATTTAGAGCACTCACAAGTTTCTCAAGATGTACAGACACAGTTGGTGAATGCACACAAGGCTACGAAAGGGGGAGATTAGTTATAGATATACTCTGTATTTTTGGAAGGATAGTCTTATGACTCGTTTTTCTTCATTTTTTTCACTATTAATGTAGGGTGATAACAATGTTATTGAAGCCACAAAGAAATCTTCATCCAAGTTTGAAAAAGCTTGAAGTGATAAGTTATTAAGTTGTGTTTGAACATGAATAATTAGAATCAATTGTGAATTCAAGTTTTTTTTAGATATGTACTATAGGGAGGAAATATATATATAGTACTATTGGTCTCTTTCATTTTTGTTAGCCTTTCTGATCTCATATGCTCCCAAATCGTTGAATACCTGTTATCTTTTGTCTCTCTCCATTGTATAGATATTCTCTAGTTTAATGCACTGAGGTCATTTTATACTAGATTTTCATTTTACACGGTATAATGTTGCTCTGGGTATTTTACGCCCCCAAAAAATGTAGGAACTGAATGCTGGAATAGTGTTGCTCTGGGTATTTTACACCCCCAAAAAATGTAAAATCGAATGCTGGCACAACGTAACAAAAGAATGAAACAATACTGCACTTAACATGCCATTGTTAAAGACATGAAAAACGTTTTTCACTTTATTTGTGTGTTGGGGACGATAATGCCCTCGTGCTATACCCTCAGGCCTCATAAGACCTTGCTGAATGAAAACGCTGTGATTGGGAAACCCTTTTTCTTTTTTTGCGCTTTTTGGGACCGTGCTATAACCACTGCTTTTTCCTCACGAAAGATTATATAAATGCTTCTCGTTGTTTTGTTGGTAGGTCGAGTTCAGGCTCGAAAGCAGATAGACGAGTGAAATACTGATCGACCATGTCTTGGGACACGTGTTCCAAGCTCGGTGGGTCCCACTGCATTCATAAAGCTTAATATGCTGTAATTTTCAATAAGGCCTGAGTACAAATTCAAACTTCAAACTGCATGTCCAATTCTATTTTGTTTGGTAACGTCTTTTTTTTTTTTGGTGGTTAAAGAAAATGTATACAACTTGATCATGAAGAAGTCCGAGTGAGTTTGTACCTTGGGTTTGAAATCTTTATCAACCAGCTTTGCTCGAACGCCCTAACAAAAATAGATTACGAGTAGTTTCGTGGGAAAGAAGTACTTGTGCTCGCGAAAAGTATAAGAAAAAACAAAAGAAGAAAGGAAAAATAAAATTATACCTCGCAAAAATCACGAGTGATCTGCCCGGATATTCCTTGTAGGGACATTCTATACTCGCGGACAAGGCACTGATCCAGAGTTTGAAACCTACCTTCTCGTATCTGAACCAGGATTTACTTCAAAGTAAGCCAAAAGCAAAAAAAAAAAAAAAAAAAAAAAAAAAAAAAAAAAGAAAAAAAAAATGGATACTATAATACAAGGATTTAAATGTTTTAAGGGACTCACAGATTTTAAAGAAACTTTCAAGCTCAATGGTGCAGCTTCTTTAAGTTTCTTCAATGTTGTCTGGCACCAAATGTCATTTGTTTTGGATGCTTCATTTTCCTAACTCACAAAATATAGTCACAACTGTAAATCTGGAGTATGCCATTTGAAATGCTATATTATTCTAGGACTCCTCGGAATCTACCATGAAAAGAAATAGTAATCTATTTTCAGAAACTATAAATGCGCTAACCATTTCCAAATAGAACTGTCAGAGAATATTCAAGATGGATGATTCACAGACGTTCTCCAAAAGCAGTGAAATGCATAAATAATAGTAGTTATTGCATGCTCACCAATGATTCAATAATTTCTTCAACTGTATCTCGGCTGAAACATTGATCAATTTTTTCAATCCTATCAGAATGTGACAGAAAATATTAACTTCAATGATGACAACCCAGAAAACGCATAAGCAGTCAGTGGACACATCAATCTTTGAACTAATCAATTGCTTTCAAGAGAACAATCAAAGATCGTCAAGCAGAAAGCTAGCAGCAAATTCAAGGAAAATATCTGATAAAATGCAAATATTATGTGAAGGGTACCACATAGGAGCAGTTGGAGTATGCCTACTCATGGTGAAAATTAGAATCTTCCAGTGAACTTTAAACTAAATAGTCAGACTAAAAGTTACATTTGAATAACACTAGTCTGATCTGGATGGACACTATCTCCTTGGTTTCCCAAAGAAGTTTCAATAACAGAAGGATCATCAGTCACCAAGTTTCCCAGTTGTTCTTCAACCAAAGGAAGTTTCTGCAGAAAAATAAACACTAAACATAAATAAATAAATAAATCAGGTAAAATTATTTTTAAAGCAGAAAAGACAATAGGAAGTCAAGATTAGTCTGAAGGACCGTGATATGAGAAAAGTGAGTTGCAAGCCCACATGATAGCATTTCGACCCCATTCATTTTTTCCCCAGTCAGAGCCAAGTACTCTCCTGGAGATTGGCAGTAGATATCGGTGTAATTAGCAGCCACCCGAGTAAAAAAATTCAGATATGAAATAAAAGGGACCCACAAAGCAAAGCAAAGCAAAGCAAAGCAAATCTTTCAAATTGGCGCATAGAATGAAACAACATGTTTATACACAGGATTTACCCAAATAACCAGGAAGGTGGGAGAGGTAGAAGGATGCTCCTGCATCTGGATGAAAACCAATCAATGTCTCGGGTGTGGCAAAAATCTGAAATAACTGAAATCAGTCTTTGTCCATTTTCCAGAGAAAGATTACGATAATAACAGCAAAAGGTACCATAACTAGCTCAAACTTGATCATGGGAATATCTCTAAAGATTTAAAATGATGAAAAGAAAGGAAAATCATTTAGGGCAAGCTTGTTTATCAAATAATCCGTTCAAAATGAGTTATTTTAATTAACCATAGTTAATTTTGAAAAAGGTGGTATGGTTAGTTAGTGGAATTTTAAGAATGTATTAAAATAATATTTAACATAAAATTATTAAAATTGATTTGATGTAAAAGTAGGATATAAATGGTTGGAAATGATAGGTAGTTAAAATTATCTGAGTGGATGAATAGTGAATTAAAGTTGATGTGATGTGTAAGAATGATTGATTTGTATTATTTAACTATAGAATAACATTAAAGATAGTGGGGTTGAGTTAGATTTTGAGTAAGCAATAAATGTGAGTAAATTAACAAGCCCTTAACATTCATGTCCTCACATACAGTTTTATCAGTTGCAACCCGAAATGTGCCTGGGATGGAGATTCCAGCCCCACCACCCATAGTAATCCCATTTAAGAGAGCCACCTGCATGGAGCATAAATTCGTACCACCCATGATACGTGATCATTATCATTATAACAATAATGATAATAAGCCAGACAGTGAAAAATGGATGAAACTTTTGATATTTGAAATTTCTCCAAAAAAAAATGAAGAAGAAGAAGAAAATATGACTCATCCTAAGAGAATGGTTCATTAAGGAGCCAATATACACAAGGGGTGTAAACCCAAAGACGTATCCCAGCTACTACAACTATGTTCGGTAAATGCATTATATAGCATGACTGAGCAAAAGGATGCCAATAGAAAGTAACAGCAAGGACAATCCTGTGAGACAGTGAATGAATTTTCTTGCAGCAAAAGAAGATCTGAAATGTTCATAATATTCTAACTAATGTTCCGGGAAGGATAAAGAGAACAGGTTCCACTTTTGTATTTGCACATGCGCACTGCAATCACAAGCAGGTAAACAAAAGCTACTCACGTGTGGCTTCAAATAAGTACCAAGAAAGTATATAAAACTATATATTGTGTGGAAGAATTCTTTGCATGCTTCCAGATTCCCTGCATGAATTGAAGAGAGCCTTTTCAATTTTCATCAGCAGGATAGAGAAAGTAAGATTCAATGCTCTAATAATGGTCATAAGGTGAAAAAACAACACTCAAATGCACCTCATGTGAAAAAACGTTAAAAAAAAGTGTGAAGAGCTTCCTACACCATGTTATATTCATATACTTGTTGTTGATAAAGTTTGACATATCAACATGTGTATTATGTGAGAGAGAGACAGAGAGTTCTGATATTACCTTTTTTTATCATATTATAAAGAGTAACAATATCTCCACCAGCCGCAAATGCCCTGCCCCCACCCTTCAAGAATTTGAACCAAATTTAAGCTACTTTACCTTGTACAATTACCTACATAACTTACGGTAACAAGCTTCTAGAATAATGGGAAGGGGTAAAAAAATGAAGCATAGATAGAAGTGATTTGTGAATGACCAAACTCCGGGATGGGAAAAAGCCAAAAATAAAGCATATATAGAAGTGATTTGTGAATGACCAAAATCCGGGACGGTAAAAAGAGAATACACAACATGTACTATGTAGGTTTTTGGACATTTGCAACATAAAGCATTTTTCTTGGTAAAATGCAACCTGAAAGTCATGAACATTCATAATTTGCAACTTCTGGTGCATCTTGATTATAAAATTATCCGCAAAACCACACACGTTTATGGTCAAGATGCACAACCAATTATGAATGTTCATGAAGTTCAGGTTGCATTTTACCAAGAAAAATTCAATAAGTTACCCATAGAATACATGCCGCAAATTTTATTTTTCACCTCGACAATAGGAACTGAGAAGTACCTTCAACACTACAAACCCAATATCAGGATCATCTTCCCAATTCTTGTACAATTTCTGAAGCCTAGCAACCTACATTGCACCAAAAGAGCATGAACCACAACATCTTCCCGAATAGGATTTTATCTACTTTGCCAGATTATTTTCCCAACCGGATTACCAGATTAAGTGTTGAAAAAATCTGGACTGTTGATTTTTGTAATATTATAATGAGAAGAAGTAATAGACGCTTGTTACACATATTTTCGGTAACTCAATAGTAAATCAAACCGGTAGTATTAGCCCGCTCTTCCATGTAGAACCAATCAAAATCCTACGAAACATCAAACACACAATTTAACCCCAAGGTGAGCAAATTAATAAAACTAACCATGGATGTGTTTAGAGCGTTGAGCGATGAAGGTCTGTTGAGAATAGCTGTTCTTGAGCTCGCTTTACCCTCGACAACTACCTGAGACTCGATCAAAAGTGAAACTAATCCTCTATCAACTAAAAAAAAATATTAAACAAAAAATTGAGTTTGAGAACTAACTAAATCATCAGTGTTGTTGATAGGAGTGCTCGACAGAAGGGATAGGCGTCGGTAGCCATGGCCGGAATTCTTGAGACACAAAAGCCGCCGGATTAGCATTACGGATTTGTAGCTTCGCATGAGGTTTCCGGCGAATTTTCACTCTACTCTTGCCTATTTGATTCTCAAGCTTTCAGAAGGTCCATTTTGTACTTTGTGGTTTGATTCTTGTATAGAGCCTATAAATTGGAATATATCCAACAATAGTAATGCTTTCAATAATAAAAATAAATAAAAATAGTTTATGCAAATAAGAAAAAAAAAATGGCATACGGGAGAAATATATCAACCACTATATATATATATATAAATAACCACTATATATAGATTTATAATATATGCATTATATGATTGATTATTTGTTAAATAACATTTTCACTTCACTAATTTTTTTTTCCATTACATGAATCACAAATGGGGACCTATTCGGCTATTCCGCTAGTTTATAATATATGTATTTTATACGATCGATTGTTTATTAAATAACATTTTCACTAGTTTTGTTTTTTCCATTACATGAATCACAATTGGGGACCTATTCTCCTAGTGTGGAGAGTTGGGAGCCAAATCCTACATAGCCTAAAAAATAGATTCATTTTTGTTAATGGTCAAAATTTTAAAATTTATATACACATTATCTAATTTATAATTAAAATATAAGATATTATTTTATTTGCATCCAACTAATTTATAATTTTAAAATATTATATACAACAACATTGATTCAACCAGTTTTGCTATGAAACAATCGGATGGCTCCGCTTATGGAGTCATCTATAGTTACTCACAAATGGTGTATTGACATGTGTCCTCCAACAAATACACATTGGACATGTGTCAGTACATAAAGTAATAGATGACTCCATAAGAGAGTTATTCAATGGCTCCATAGAATTTCTCTTGATTCAACATATCATTGAATCAATGTCACTTAACAAATCAATGTCAATAGCACAACATAGAAACCAACCACTTCACAAATCAATATCAAGCGCACAACAAAGCCACACCACAATCACTTCAACTCAGGACAAAAACAAAAAGTCTAACAATAACGCACCACAACAACTCATTCTACATAAAAAGGGCTTCTTCTCCAGCAGCGAAGTCAATAGCAGCTTGGCTTCGCATGCTATCTTTCCATTTTTGTTATGCTTTAAACGATGTCGGTGAGAGAGTTTCTGTGAATAAAATTGAGATTCGGTGAATCGACGATCATAAATATTTACAGACACAATGGTCTTCGACCGGAAAGTCCTTTCGATCTAATCCGGAATCGAATAAAGACAAAAAAAAAAATGACATGGTAAACCTTATAAATATGTCTACTTCTTAAGAAGGAAAGCATGATGATCTATGAAATAACAATAACAGACCACACCAACTCCGTCCTTTTGTTCTTGCTTACGAATTTAACTTCAACCAAATTAATGTGTCTCAGAAGTCTAGGTATGATTTGTCTGAGTTCTTGTTCAAATTGGAGGGGCGATCCATACAAAATATTTGCAATCATTCCAAAACAAATTGAACCAATGCACTATCAAATCAATCCACCGACCATTGCAATTGGATTTTCAAAAAATAAAAATAAAAAACAAAAAACAAAAAATATATATGTATATATATTGAAATAGTGTTAGGTCAACATATTCGTCCTAATACATATGTTGCGTATCGCCTTCCCAGATTGTTGTCCGTCCCAAGACTTGACCATCACAATCTCTTTCACAACTGCAATATTCATCCAAGTTACCTTTGAAGTTTGCTTCCACATTTTCTCCACGTATCTTTGAAGTAAGCTTGTCTCTACTCGATTTTTTTTTTCTTCTCACTCCTATGGCAGTAACCCTAAATTGGATTTTTGTATTCCTCGTTGAAGTATATAAGGTCATAAGAGGTTTGGTATAGTACAATGAAAAGTTTGACCAAAATTAATACCTGAAAGGTCGTTTATGCCCTTGTAATTGCCCCGGTGATGACCGAAAGTAGTTATGGGTGTGTTTGTTAAAAGTAATAATTTGAATGAATTAACTCAAAGTGAGTTTTTTTTAGTTAATCAGTGTTAATTTAGAAAAAGTGGTGTAGTTAGTAGTGAATTTTGAGTTTATATTAAAATAACATTTAAAATAAAATAGTTAAAAATGTTTTGATGTAAAAGTAGGAGGGAGATTATATGAAGTGATGATTAGTTAAAATTATATGAGTAGATGAATAGTGAATTGGAATTGAGATGATGTGTAAAAACGATTGGTAGTTATTATTAATGATTGATTGTTATTATCAAATTATATTGATAATTGAGGATAGTATAATTGAGTTAAAATTAAATTAAATTTTGAGTAGAATTAATTTGGTTTGAGTTTTCCCTCTAACAAACACACCATAAGTGTAGTTATTTTAGAAGTTCTCAAGAAAAAAAAAAAAAATGAGTGGGTTGAGTGCAAAAAATAGTATAATTCCACAAGGAAGCATGCTTGTTTATGAGTTAATTTACTCACTTTTATCTCATACTTAAAATCCAACTCAATTTAACTCAATCACACTATCTTTAATATTATTCATATAATTAAATAATACAAGCCAATTATTGTTACACATCACATCAACTTTAATTCACTATTCACCCACTCACATAATTTTAACTACGTCATTTCTAATCATATTAATCATTTTATTTTAAATATTATTTTAATACATTTTTAAAATTACACAAACAACTAATTATATTACTTTTTCTAAAATTGACTATGTTAACCAAAATAATTCAACAAATTATCACTTTTTAACTAACCATCACATCAAATCATCTATTCCCTACTTTTATGTCAAACTATTTTAATTATTATATTTTAAATATTATTTTAATATACCGACTAACAACTAAGTATACCACATTTTTTAAAATTAACCAAACCAAACCAAAAAAATCCAAACAAAACCAAAAATTTCTATAAAGAAACATGCACAAAATTTCACTTAAATTAAACAAAATCTTCGGGAAGCACTAGCAATTGTCTCCTTAAACGAACCCTGCACCCGCCTTCTCGAGCTCATCCCACTCTGACTGAGCTCCACTGCGCCGCCGCTTACTCCACCGTAGACCTCCCTGACAACGCTTTATCATCTGATCACGTGTTCTCACCGGAGGTTTCCGAGAACCGTAGATTTCAATTATCCGTGCTCAAGTCCACAATCAGTTCCGTGAGCCGCCGACTTGTGAGTTTCGAAATCTCGTAAGCAACCTGCCCAACTTGTTTCGATTCTTTTCAAATAGTTTCGAAATGAATGCCTTACAGGCTCCAGAAATTTGAGGAATCAGCATACACGAGCGCACGACCCGTTCAATCACCCTCGTATTCAATTTCTTCCACGGGACAACCAGCCGTCGATTTTCTGGTAAAGACATCGTAATTACATGTCAAATTGGTCTTTGTGACTCGTAGAATTCATATCCCCGGCCTTCGGACTACCAGAATGCTATAGAACTTTTACCGCGTGAAAACTCTTGTCCCTAGGATCATGTCGGTAATTTTGAAATTTCGAGTTCGGTTGTGAGGTGTACGGGCTGTGCGTATGGATGTGCATGATATATGCTGGCTGTGAATTTGGGAACTGAAATGTTAGTGTTGAATGCTCACTCAGTGTCTGTTTGAGAATTTCAATATTCCTGTGGTCGTACAATTTAGAATCACATCCATACATCTGCCGTGCACTGACTTTGCATGCTTTTTTTGACCTTCGTAATCCTGCTTTTTCTGGTGTCTTCACGAATGTTGTAGCTCAGTCTATTGTCTTTTTGCTGGGATAAGAATTTCTCAACTATCTGTTGGCATAAGAATTCACCCAATAGTTTTGCTGAGAACTATTTGGGTTTGTATGTAAGTAGAAGTTTACCTGTAGTGCTTTGTTCTTACAAACTTAGTTCGATGTTATGGACTAGTGCAAAACCCCCCTATTCCGCTTTTTCAGAAATGTCACTGTTCTTCTAACTGACCAAACTAATTTGAGGATTTTTTTTTTTCTGTCACTTAATGTCCCTTTTCTTAGAATTTTCTTTTAAACAAGTGTGGGTTGGAAGTGCTTCCTTAACAACCTAACTGACACAATCAGTTCTCTCCGGTGCTTTGTAACAGTCAAACATAATATATCAATTAGGAGTTGGGACGCGATGAACGACTCGATGAAGCAATTCCAACAAGGACTCATTGAGGTCGAAATTGAAGCTGAAAATCTTTTGTTGGCACGGCATGAGGTAGTTGGAACTAATAATGGATGTTATGTTTTATTTTTCTGTCATTGAAGATAAGCTGACTTGCTCGTATTTGTGGCTGCAGTTAGTTGAAATTGACCGAGTGAGGAATGGGAACAGGGAAGCTTTAACAGCACTAAGAAAGAGGGCCAGGACAACTAAAACCAGTGTCCCTTTGCCTTTTGAGTCGATAATGAGGGATGTGGATTCAAGGCCACTAGTCAAAGAGGTCTGTACAACTTGTGGTGATCACAATTCCAGGGAGAAAACATTATTAATGTTCCCAGGAACTGATCTATTTGCAAGCATACCGTTTCATGCTGTTCATACCATATTGGAGAAAGGTGCATCTCCACTCTTTTCATTTTACTGTTGTTTTTTGTTGAATTTGAATGATGACAGTGGCAGAATCTGAGTCTGTATTGTCTTATGACTCTTATCAATCGAAACATAATTTGCAGAAGGATCTTCATTTATGCTTTTGCTTCCAGGATTTTTTTTTTTTTTTTTTTTTATTACTTTTAATGATGTGAACGTGTCAATAGTTTGCAATTATTTAGATTATCATGTGTCCAGCAGTTGTGGATTTGATCTTACTGATGAAAGCCCAAATAAGAAGTAGCAAAATTAAGTTGGTTGAATGGCACGATGGATATTTTGTAACCTCGGGTTGTAAAATTGTATCAGCTTTCCACATTATAAGGGGAAGGTTAGAAAACAACTGGAATGCAAAACTGTGCTATTTGAAGGAAAGGCTATTTTCCTCTAGGTTGCACATGGTGGCATCATCTTGTTCGCTTGAGGTCAAACAAAATAAATTCCTGGATTGTGATCTTTCAATAATAAAATACTTCATTTCTCACGTTTTCAGTGTTTAAGGTACCAAATAGCTTACAGAACTACCAGTAGAAGTTCACATGAAATGCATCTCAGTATTCAAATATTCAATAGAATCAACGTCCCTGAATTTGTTATCCTGCCGATGTTTTTATATAGAATCACATCTAAGTAATTCAAACCGTTCATTGGCTACAATATACAACATATTTTTCTATACACACACACACACACACATTCCACCTAGGTTGAGTTCTGGTCCTATATTTGCTTATAGATTGTATTGCAAATTTTTAGATCAAGCGCGCCTGGATTTTGATTCCAAGAAACTCCAGAGCTACGTGAAAGAGAAATCCTTCTTGATTTCAGAAAAAGGAGCTCTAGCTGACAAGATCAGTCCTGGTGTGCTGAGATCTATGGTGACCTTAACGGACAAACCAAAGTGCGTTTCTCGATGCTGAAGAAAATATTTTGATTGTTGCTCAGGTTTTATTGGATTTGAGATAACATTCCATCATTGGTTGTTTAATTCAGGGTTGAGGAGAGAGATTGATACGTTGTAGTTTGTGGGAATCTTATCACTCAGGGTATGTTAGTATGGTGTTGACTGTTGATGTATCTCTTCTCTTTCCTATGCATGTAATCTTGTTAAATCAAGGAACACAAATAAGAGCTCTATACCAACCTCAGGAAACGAGAGAAACTGATGGCAGTATTAATTGTTCTCTTTTTCCATCTGAAGTGAAACTTCCACCATTGTATACATACTAACTTCGAGAGTCATGCTAGATAACGTAATGAATGATATGCACTTTGACATAATATACGCATGGCAGGATCTTGTTGTTTACCCATCACATCATCTTAAATATCGACTATCCAAACGCTTGCACATCATTTTATGTCAACTATTATGTCGAATATTTGTGTACGAGTAGCACTTTTGCGGACACCTATATTGTTGGAAATATCACATGAAATTCTAATTGTTGAGGCTATGTTTATATACTGTTGTTAATGTCATTCACTGCCCTTTATTTTGTTAGTGGGCTTAATATCATTTGAGAACCAAGAGGCAAGTGAGATGGGACCAATAAATTTGGGTCTAGTTCATTGCCTCTTAAATTTTATTTTAGCTTGGGAATGCTTGTTTTAGAAAGCGAATGTGAATAGAAACTTCTCTTAGGATACTTTTTTAAGGTGTTCTGGCTTCCAGCGTAAGAAAACACGACTTCTGTTCTTTTGTTTCTGAAACTCACTGAACTTGTTAAATTGGTGATATTCTCAATGGTTGTGACACTTTTGAAATGTCATATTTAGACACTTCATGCTGCGGCTTCAAGGCAATCTGATCTTTTCGTTTTTCTCTTTTCACATTTTACCATTTCTCTTATTACGCTCGTTCCATCTGCCGGAGCAATTATCTCACCAAATTCCCAGATAAGCTTCCCAAGTACCATTTTCGCCAGTATTTATAGTACATTCACGTTCTTAAGAGAAATTTTTTCATTCTAGGACTCAATTAAAACCTTGTAAAATTAATAATCTCTTAATTGTTTTCATGCCGTTTACTTAACTATTTATTTTTTGAGTTTTCACACTTCCTTTTTCTGGTTTGCTCGTACTTTTCTTGCACCCAATGACCTTTATATGCCCACGAAAGCAATTGCTTATGATCTGGAAACCAAAGGCGTGATCGAATTGTTTCTTTCATTGATGCAGGTTTTTGAATGCCTGATGAAAATGATTGAACAAGCAACCGAATAGGAAAGACAGTGACTGAAGAAGCTTCCTTTTATGATGACAGCTGTCCTGTGAGGTTGGACTTTCACCAACCGAGCACAAACATGTTAGGGTAAGGGGGATACTTCAGGTCCGTCTTTACATTAAGGGTAGACTCGAATTAATTAATTTTGGATTAAATAATTTCGGCATTATGGAGCTTGCTCAATTATGACTGGAGATGGGGCTCACCCATCTTATCAGATATTTGTTTCATTATTATGTTTATCATGGGTTTTGTTTCATAGTCCGAATGTTTGAAACCATGTTGGTATCATGTCTTTAAAAGCAATAATTTTTATTTTTTAAAAAAGAGATATTTTCCTGATAGCAGTCATTGAGAATTCAAAGAGAATTGCTTGCATGCCAAAGAATTTCCAACCCCAATTAGGTGTTTGCATTTAGCATTTCTGTTGGATCGCGTAGAGTGAATTGTAGAATGTACTCTAGATTTAATAATGATAATGATATGAATATGATATCTTTTACACTTCATTTATTTCATGTATCTAGTGGGAGTTGGTGGTTCACTTTGAGCTGTGAGCATCAAAGGTCAGAAAAATCGGACCACTTATAAATTGTAAAGCACCCTTCAATTCTGCTGATTGCGATTTGCACACATGATTAATTTTATCAGAATGCGTTTGGTGTAAATATGCAGTGATTAGAGCTTGATTAACCGGGGTGGAAGGATTGAACTTAGACATGACCCCATAACTATTGTATTATCCCTGTCGTTACTTTCATGATTAGGGCTTTGGGATGTTGACAAATCGGATAGAAAATGTTAGGTGTTTAGGTCAATTACGTTATTAATTGTTTGTTAATAGAAGGTAATATCTCAATGGTGTGCAATTATTAAGGCGGACTCCATTTTTTGCCAATATTATTATCTGGCAGGAATTATGTATTTATTCCGGTTATCTGATAGTTCAATAATATTCAGAAACCACAAGCCTAATAAATTATTTGCTAATATACAGATTCTTTTATATTTTGCATACAAGATAAGAATTGAACAAGAAAGTACAGGACAGTGAGAAAAAAGAATTTGTACCCCTAACATTTATGTTTAAATAGTTTCAACGTAATATAATGCTCTAACATTTATAGTACAATGTGGAGAATACTGGTTGTACAAATAGATTATCTTTGCCCTTGTGACATTGAAATAATTGTGACCCTCAATTTCTTATAACATATGAATGTATATTATTTTCCCAAGTATATGTTGCTGTTGATGAATGCGACTTCTCGGAGCATTTGCATGTGAACATCTTGCATTCGAGTTTTGATGTTGTGCATGAAATAAGTAAAAAAGAAGAGAAAATTATTGAAGAATTCCTCTTCACCATGTTTGTGCTTAAAACTAATGAGTAAGACTGTGAACATGTGCAAGATGTTGCTATCTTCTGACAATTTCTTTTCCTGAACTCTCATTGTTTGTTGCATCTTTTGTTTGCATTCGTGAATGTTCATTTTCAATAAATAGTTGTGTTTACAGACATGGAACCAATTCTTCCTATTTCCTATATTCTTTATTTTATTTTTTTATTTTTATTTTTGCTTAGGGTTCCTGGAAGACCTATAATGCAAGAGATGGTCAAACTATGAACACAAATTACTATAAAAAGTCTGGTTGTTGTGTAAGATAATTGTTATAGCTAACTACTTGCCAATTTGGTTTATCAACTGAATTACTGAATTAGGTGTTAAGAAAAATATAGAATGTTGATTTTAATAGTCAACATCAACATACCCAGTATATTCCTAACAGGTTGGGATCTGGGGGGTCAGTTGTACGCAGACCTTACCGGGGAAGTAATGAATAATAGTAATGAATGTTGATTTTAATAGTATTATATTGACAAAAAAAAAAAGTAATGAATAATTGTCATTTCGTAAATTGGTTTGCTTTTCGGATTTGTGGTTTCAGAAGATTTCTTGAATAAATTCATGTCAAGGCCTCTTTTTTTTTGGTACAATGGAAGAAGGCCAAGGCCTTAGCAAATGATTAAGCTAGAACACGACGAGGGTAAGAAATTCCCGTAAGATCATGTTGTAGCCAAGCTCCCAAGCCTGAGGGGGAGACGAAATCCGGTGCAGCCCGACGGAGGAGGATGTTGCAACACTCGCCAAATGATCTACCGTAAAATTAGCTTCCCTATGAACGTGTTGGAGTGTAACACTTTATTTCCGATAAAAAAGGCTCCGAATAGCACTCACTAGAGCAACATAGGTCCCTAGACTATCCATTCGTGTCGCTAACCAACTGTGTTACACATTGGCTGCCAAGGCCTCTTTTGATTGAATGCATCATCAAGATTTAAAAAACCAAATAAATAAATAAAATAAAATAAAATAATGCAAATTAGTGAAGTGGGGTCCTCTAGTCCTCTATCATGTGTTGGAAAACTAGGTAATAAAATGAGGGATGAATTAATATTACTGTAGTAGCCTAGGAGTGGCAGTATAATATTTAATATTATGTAGTCGGTCATTCTCACGTATAATTGAAAACAGAACAAAATAAATATGAATATAAAAAAAAAAAAGGAATACTCAATAGAAGTTGTGTCAAAATATGTGCCACAAGAGTTGCTATGCCCACCCTTTTTCCATTCATTCTGTTCACCAACAGACAACCTCTCCCCGGCCCCTTTCATTGATTACTTCTCAACATTTTAATGTGACCATCAAAAAATATCTCGGAGGCCCTCAGTCGGGTACGAGCGTCTGGTTCTAACATGATTTGACGGGCGTGTCCTATCCCCGCCCGGTTCTTCTTTAGGCTTGCACTAGCCTTCCTTTCTTGTACCGAAAAAAAAAAAATATCTCGGAGGGCCTTTTGCCCACCTTAGTCCTCCCTTTTTTTACAGTCACTTAATCCTTGTAACTTATTACTGTGGATCAAATTAAATAACATTCATTTATTTTTTACGTGGGGTGTAACATTTTCTTACACCCAAAACACAGACGTATCTGCGCAAGAAAAAACTATCATAATTCAAAAATATATGAATTAATACATTTTTTTTAATAGGGAAAAAATGAGAAAAACTATAGTCACGGTTCTTGTCTGACCTTTAAGAAAAATTCCGAACACAAAATAGTCAACTTCCGTGTCAGCCTTTTTCCCACCAAATGCCAGTCCCCACTCCCCACACCGAACTCCCAATAATATCAATGCCAATTTTCATAGTTGTGTAATGTGTGCTTAATCTTGTTAAATTAAACGAGCCTAGTTCGGATCGTGTTCGAGGTCTTAACGAGTCGAGCTTGAGTTCATTTAAAGTTCGATTGGTTAACGAGTCAAGCTCGGCTCGATAAGGATCGAAAATAGAATTTTTATATAATTTTTTATTGTTCGGTTGGTTAAAGCTCAAGATCGACTCGTTAAGTCTCGATCTCCAGGCCTTAACAAGCCGTGTTCGAGCTTGAATTTTGGCTCGTTTACTTAACGAGCTGAGCTCGACTCGGCTCGTTAAGAGCTCGAACTCAATCTCGAGCACTTTAAACTCGAGCCCGGCTCCTTTACAGCTCTATGTGTGCTCACATAAAATAAACAAAAACTAACTTTGCATGACCACGCTCTCACTCGCTTACCAATAATTGACCGTCATATACTAATGTATATTATTCCCATTTTTGGTCTCTTCTTAACTTTTCTTTTCATTTTCTTTATTTTCCTCCCACAAAATTAATCTTTCAGTATAATCCATATCTTAGTACAAAATGCCTTAACAGTATATTATAGAACTATAGAAGAAGACAAAAAATAATATACATTGTACGTCGTAGATATGAGATCGTATCTTCTTTCATGTCTTCTTCTTGGGGCCTTTGTACAATTTCAGATAAACACTTTGTCTGCATTATTTTATAGAAAAAAAATCTGAAAATAATATTCCATCTGTCTAATGTCGTAAAAAAAATGGTACTTTGCATATTATTCTATGTACTCAGAAAAAACCGAGTTGTAATGTCCCTGTAGTTTGCTGGAAAAAAATATGCTGAAGTTTTTATGAGGTCGGATCAATAAAAGTGAAATAAAAGCGAAAAAGTGAACACGCCAAATTGATAACGGAGTTCGTCCAATAATGGTTACGTCTCCAGACTACTGTAGATATTTTATTAGGAAAAAAGAATTCAAATCGTGTTTACAAAACACTCGACACAACTCACAGCTCAAAAGTACCGTTAAATTATTTTTCTAGCTTACTCTCTCCTTTTTTTTCTTCTTGAATTTTTGATTGATGTTTGTCCATAGAATCCCCTCTATTTATGAGAATATTACACATGAATTTGAGTTGTTTGATTCACTTGTTTGAAAAGTTTATCATACATATATAGCCAATAGCACATTAAGTGAAAATAAATTCTGAATGATTAACATGTTTAATTTTTATTTTTTTTCAACCCCATTCCCGTTTGTAAGGGGATTTGTTTTCGTTACCTAAAAACATTTGAATAGGATAAGCTATTACTCACATTTAGTAACTAATACTAAAATCTTGTTGTTAACTTTTTTAAATTATATTTTTTTTGTTACAGGGACCTTTCGGTTTCCGGATCCACAGGGGAACCGACTAATCCGGAATCGAGCCGGGTAGGACCACAAGGGCGGCAAAGCTCTCCCTCAAGAGTTTTAACACTGCTGCATTCCCAGAGCTCGAACTCGAGACCACTAGTTAAGCTGGAAGAGACCCAAGCCATCTCATCCAAGCGCTCTTGGTTTTTAAATTATATTTTCAATTTAGAGTCAAGCTAAATCATGGATTGAATACTACTAAATTATATATAACAACACCTAAACGAGATTTGTCTTTTAATTCAAGAGTAATTATATTGAAAATGATGATTAGATTGTGAGCTTGACAAAATATGAGATTGCGAACTTAAGAAAATGAAAACAAGATATGTAATAACTAATAGTACATGTATTATCTACTGGCTAGCTAAAACGAAGAGAAAGAAAAGACAAAGGGCTTCACTGCAAATTTAACAAGTCAGTGTTGGGTAAAACAGTAAGTGCATTTAACAAGTTGCACAACGTTAGACACAGCCCTATCTCTGGCCAAAGCTGCTTCATACACACACAAATCACCATTTTCCATGTTTTCTCTCTATATTTCAAATTAACACAAACCTAAAATAGACTATAGCTTTACACCGGAGACGAAAATTTTGATACTCGAGCTCCGGTTCAAGCCTTTGTCGAGCCAAGCACATTTAAACGGGCTCGAGCTCGAGTTTGACTCATTTATCAATATTAACACGTTAAACTTAATTAAGTCAAAATTGGATGATCAGCTAAAATAAAGCTTAAAAAATTACATATATAAAATCTCTTATTCTCAAGTTTTAATGAGTCAAACTCACCAGCGGCTAAAAGTAATGAAAGTGCTTTTATGAAGTAATAACATAGATTAATGAAGAAAGGCAAAAAGGAAGAATTATATTAGCTAGCTGCCATAAATAGTATAACTTTATCACCATGGATAGGGTTTTGATTACTCCACTATATATCTCTCTATAGCTTCATGAGTTCCAAACTACATGAAGCTGAAGTTCTCTCTCACATGTTCAAACAAAACCCCAATTCAAGAAAACCATAAAACCAAAAAACATTTGTATTGTTCCTTAAAATCCACTCAAATTAGCACAAAAGCTTCAAAACTCAAAAAGAAAATAAGCATCTTTTCTACAACATATATAGTAGCTAAAGCCACACACACACTCTGATATTGAGAGTGGTTTCCTGTCTTCATTGTTTTTTTTTATCATTTGTACTAAAAATAAGAAAGTAATTTGAAAGGTATGTTGGACTACGGTTGGGGAAACCCGCCTCCGATCATGCTCTCCGGCGACGACAGCCCCCACGATTCCGACATGACGACCCGCCACGTCTTCAACCCTTACGCGGCCCAAAACTTCCCGGAAACAGCCGCCGCTTTTGTCCACCCGGACAACCATTTCGCTACCGCCGGAGGCGGCAGCGGCGGCCACCTCCCTTTCCATCCACCGCAGAACCCCAACCCCCAATTCACCACCCCATTCTACGACCTACGCGGCGCCTACGGCGTGTCCGCCACCTCCTATCCCAACCACCAACACCAGCCGCCGTCGATGTTGACCCTCGAGCCGGCTGGGCCGAACGGGTTCTTGGTGGTCCCAAAAACCGAGCCGGCGGTTGTCGCGGGTGGGCTGGAGTTCAACGCAGTGGAGTACAGCAGCAGGATTGGGTTGAACCTCGGCGGCCGGACCTACTTCGCCTCGTCAGAGGACGACTTCGTGAACCGGCTCTACCGCCGGTCCAGGATCCTCGACCCGGGTTCGGTCAACTCGCCCAGGTGCCAGGCCGAGGGCTGCCACGCGGACCTGAGCCACTCCAAGCACTACCACCGCCGCCACAAGGTGTGTGAGTTCCACTCCAAGGCCGCAACCGTCATCGCCGCCGGACTCACCCAGCGGTTTTGCCAGCAGTGCAGTAGGTTCGTTGTCACGATTATACCCTCCCCTCATGCATTTAATTGACTGAAATGCCATTCTTTGGTGGGGGAGTTGTATGTCTAATCATTTGACTGCCTTTTTTTTCATCTAGCTTTTTTTCTTGTACGAGGGCTGATCCCGAGGGCATTTATGTCCGTAAAATTTATGTCTTCGCAGAAATTTCGGACCCTTTATTTACTTTCATTTTCTTAAATTTAATGTTTAGTTCTTCATTTTCATTTTATTAATTTTATATTTCAAATGTTGTGTGTTTGGCTTCATTCAACTTTGGCAATCTACTTGCATTTCACAAATAAAATTGTTAATTTGTTTTAGGTTTCATTTGCTGTCGGAATTTGACAACGGGAAAAGGAGTTGCCGGAAAAGACTCGCCGACCATAACCGGAGAAGAAGAAAGTCACAAACTAATAATCAAGAAAGCAGTAACAAGCCACAACTTGATAACAATGCAACCAATTCCTCCTCTGATAACTTAGCAAGTAAGTGTTAACCAATTTTCATAATCAAATTTTCATGATCATCACATTTTTCGTAATAACAATCTAAAATTTGTTTAACAACTTACAATAAGCTCAACATATCTAAACAACTTAAAAATGTATGATAAATTAAAATAAATTAACTTCTATAGTTACGTATATGTGGCATAACATACTACAAGTCCGCAACACACACATACTTAGCTAGACCGTAATTAAAAACATTAATTAAAAATAAAAAGTAGAATAGTTTATATGATAAGATATATATTTTGGAAAAAAATATATATATATATATATTATTTCGGCAGGGTCCCCACCGGATTCCGGCCAGCATTCGTCTTCTGTCACGGTGGCTATTTCCCCGCCGAAAATCTCTCTCAACTGTTTTGGACACAGATCTTATGCGGGCGTGGGCCCCACCACTTCGTCCAGTGCGTCGACGAGCTCACTTTTCTACTCGAACGGCGGCTGATTCGTATGATTTGCAATTTAATGGAATTTTAATGTATAATTTAATTTCAGAGTTTCAAGAATGACGAGGAAATATTGCGAGAAAAAAATTGGCAGTTATTAAAAGCTTGATAAGCTGCAGAATTAATATAGCTACTATCAAGTGCTGGTAATAACACGGTACAATTGAGATTTGTCAGCCAAGTTTTATCTTAGCAGCAGGTACTAATTGACCCTTTGGCTAGTCAAATTTTCATATCTGTTGAAATCCAATTTACCTTTACCATTAATAACTATTATTATTATTATTATTATTATTATTATTATTGTTATTATTATTATTATTATTATTGCTATTTCTTATTAGCCATAAGGACTTAGGGGTGAGCAAAACGAACAGAATCCGTAGGCGAATCGTGTAATCCAACGCAGTTCGATTAGGTTTTTTCTAGTGTAAAGACTTGCCAGTTCATATTTGTTCTAATTAACTGTGGTATAATTTGGTTATTATTTTTCACAAACCGATCACATTTTCCATTTTTTATTGGAAAAATCGCACCAAATTAAATACAAAATTTATGGAAAATTTGGGCCTAAATCCAAATTGAGCATTTACCTCCACATTCCTTGGGAATTTAATATTTCCAATTTGCATGCTCATTTACCATTGCCATAAACAAAGGGGGATAAATAATTTTTTTACCATTGCCAGAAATAAAGTGGTAAATTATTAATATTTTTTTCAAGAAGATATCAGTTTTAGAATATAATCCTTTCTGTTTTAACATGTTTCCATATGGGAACAAGGGTTGGTTTTTGGCAGGGTCACACTCATGCAGGCAATTACTAATTTGAGCTACACTACTGCATTATTACTACATTTACTATTGATGATACTATTATTATATTATTTATTATTCTTGTCAGTAGCTAGGTCTCTGATATTTTGTGGTGCAGTAACCTTTATGTTTTAACCACAGTAAAAAAGTTCAAAAAACAAAAATAAAAATAAATAAATTACTATTATGAAGAAGATGAGGGTAAGTCAAGCTGTCTCCTGTATGGAGGCTATTTTGAAGAAAAAGTTAAGAAAATCGTGGGCCCTTTTATCCTTTTTATCAACCATCAATTTGCAGCTACCGATCTGTACATTGTCATGTGAAGGAAGTTGATTCAAATGGGAAAAACTCGATTTTACCACAACGTTTTGACAAAATTGTAATTTTAGTCATAAGAATTTAACATTTTTGCTATTTTGTCCTATGATTTTAAAATTCAACGCTAATTTCAGACCTTTTGGACTGAAAATGCAACAAAATTTGAAATTACAGGACTTAAACTGCTAATAAGAAATCTTTTGGATGAATTTTTTATTACCAATTTAAGTCTTAATTTTAAATTTTGTTGTAATTTCAGTCTCAAATGACTGAAATTGCAGCAAAATACTAAATTACAGAATCAAAAGACAAAAAGTTAAAATCTTGAGACTAAAAATGTTACGTCGTTAAACCAGCAGGAGTACTAGAAATGAAATTTTGCCCAACATTTTTCACCATTGAATGTGATTCAACGATAAAATTTGACTTAAAATGAAATTTCAATTTTTTTTTTTTTTCTCTCTAAACTTTTGCATTATTATTTTAACTTTTTAAATTTTCAATTGAGCCCACTTAAATATATTTTTGGTTACTTCACTAGTTGTGTGACATTGTCAACTACAAAAATATTAAATAAATAAGCTGAAGCCTGAAAGTTTTTGTATTAAAATAAAAATATTTGTATAAAAAAAAGATTGTTATATTATAAATTATAATACAACATACATTTGCCTATGTTATTATTTTAAAGTTAAAGTATAACACGTTTGTATTAAAATGTATTGCACATGATTTATTGAAAAATTATGATTGTCTAACTATTAATTAATCTAATAATAATAATTTTATTAATACTATACTATAACTTGCATTTTCTTCTTCTCCACTGCTCCCTTGCAAATATTAGGATATCCTTATAATAATAATAATAATCTTGTTCACGTACTTACATTTTCCCTAAAAATAACAAAATTGAAAAATTAATTAATTTTAAATAGAAAAAAATGTTATAAATGATATTTCACGGTCTTTTAGGGCCCAATCCAAAAACCTCGAAACAAAAGCTATAAAATGGCATTTATACAATGTGTTGTGTGTGTAAACAGTTGTATCAGAATATCCTCCCATAGTCCCACCAGCTCGTTCCTTACCAGTCACGTGCCTCTCACGTGGATCTGCCACAACGTGGAGCCCCCACAAGTAACGACAATTGATCTGCCACGTAATGGCTGCCACGTCGGAGCGTCCATAAATTTTGGAAAATATTCTTGAGTTTGTTTTATGAGTTGTGTGACACCGGGTTGGATACTTGGGTCAGTGTCTAGTAGGCCCAAAACTGTAGAACCCATGTAGTGATTATCAGCTTCTTATTTAGTAGGCCCAAATCAATTTAAACAGAGTATTGGGAGCAACAGTGTTGGGCCTTGGGCGGTTTCACTTAGTTGTAATGAGCGTGATTGTTACAACGCATTTTTTCGAGAAACCGTTAACAGTTGATAATTTCTTGTTGCTTCATTTTATGTCTTCTTGTGACCACAAGCTGATAATTGCTTGATTTAATTTAGTTGTGCAAGTCAAATTGCCTGTTTAATAGTGCTTCACATGTATAAGCCTTGAGCATACATCCCTCCTAATAATTGACTAAAATAATACTATATATTATTGATTAGGAGGGATTAAGGCCACACCACCTGAGTGTAGTTCGAGCATTGACTTTATCGAACTAGATTCAATCTTTTTAAATATTGCTCGAGATCATGTAGCCAGGGACGTATCAAGAAATTAAGAGTAGACTGGGCTAAAATTTTAAGTAATCATTTTCATAAAAATCATATAATATTTTTTCTTTAAATATTTACTGAAGTTGTGCTCAACGAACTTTTACATAATAAAATTCATCAACAATAAAATCTATACTTATACTATTAGTAAACTCCCGTTCGACGAGCTTTTTGGCCTAAGGTTGTTGCTTCATGTGAATTTTTGAAAATTTCACAAGCCAGATATGTCCATTTATTTAAGCCAAACATGAGTTGAAATATATATATTTTTTTAATTGATAATTTGCAAATTGTGTACCATGATCAACCATTCAAAAATGAACCTACAACAAATAAAAATTATCTACCAAAAGTGCAAAATATGTAAAAAGAAATCTCCCATAGCAAACTAGAATTAAGAAATCCCTCCATATTTCTTTTCTCCTATCCAGAGTACAGACTCAGCACTCAATCCAGCAAACTAGAATTAAGAAATCCCTTCAAATTTCTTTTTTTCTCTCCAGACCAAGCACTCAATCCAGGATCTCACACAATAATCAAACCTCATAACACCATTTTTTTCTCCATTTATAAACAGACAAGTATCACATGAATAAAACTAAGACAACTATCGTACAAATTTACAAAACATGACAACAAAAGAGACGAAAAATCAGGTAACGTACAAAAAGCAATATATAAACAAAAGCGCACAAAAAACAATTATCAGTCAATTAGGTATGGCAATTGATGCTTACCAGCCCACCAATTTGGACGAGTTTTTGAAACAAAGAAAATGAGAAGATGAAAAAGAAAGAAAATATGGAGAAAAGATAAATTATGGTTATTGAAAAAAGATAGAGACGTCATTTATGTAAAAGAAAATCTGACGAAAGATTTGAATTGGAACCGTCAATTTAGAACAGACGTAAAAAAGTAAAAGATAATGTACAAGAAACAAAATATTAGATATAAAAATAAAAGATAAAAAATGATATGTTAAAATATAAATAGTTTATATATACATGTATATCACGCCATTATTTCTAATGCCATTTGGACAATTGGGCTTGAGTATTTTAATTGGGCTGGGCTAGGGATTTAAAAAGAGAAAAATTTAAAGTAATTAATGGTTAAAGCAAGTAACAGGCTTGGGCTTCAGCCCAGCCCAGGCCTAATGTAAGTCCGTCCATGATGTAGCTTTGCTAACCTCAGCTAAAATTTTGTTTATAGATGCTATTCAACTAAAAATATTTGGATAAACATAATTAGTTTGACTTGAATTTAGCTCGAGTCAAGGATATTTGGATAATTATAATACTCAAGCGGTAGTACGACTGTACGAGGTCCTCAAACTCGACTCATACTAAACTCTAGCTCGGTAAGATCTTAATTTAACTCGAGTGCTCGTGTGACTCGTATTCTATATGATCCATTATTGCAAGAAAACATATAAATTGTTTAACAGAAATGTTCAAAAACAAAATCAAATTTCAGCCTAAATCACCCAACATTATTCATATTAAAAAACAAATAAAATAGAAATAATAACAAAAGAGGGAAAATAGTATCAGTAGCCTAAGGGAACATTCCACAACTCGGAACAATCTCCTTCATTCCCGTCTCTGGACTCCGGCCCACGATCGTTGACGGACAGAAGCCCAAATGCCGAGCCCGGGTCCTGCATTAGGTCCAACGTCACGTGCCCACCAGCACTCCCCATGGGCCCGGCCCGAATCGAGCCACCAACCCTGTAGCCATTACTGTAGCTGTCATGATCCACAAGGTAATTAGAGTGGGCCATGAGGTTCCTGTGGGCTAAGGCGGACGCCCGATTCTCCGCGATGAGCTCACGCAGAGCCGCGCTGCACCTGGCTGGAAGATCTCCATCGGACGGTGAGGACAGATGCCACGCGGGATTGCTCCGGACCGCCGATGAAGATGACGTGGATAGTGATGACAGAAGAGAGTAAGCACACTCGCCCGAATTAGTCAGAGGCGGTGCGCGTGACCTGCCTGCCCCCATCATATTCATGTCTGCAGCAGGAAATAATTGTACTAATTAGTTGGGGCAATTTATGTGATATTCTCCCTATATATAATTTCCGAATGTGTTTAGCCTACGTGACTGTTTCTGGTGCTTCGAAATTCTACTTGGCGAAGAATCATATTTCGTAATTAGGTTTGGACAAATATTATTGATATATTAGTAATTAATAATATAGGTTTGGACATTCCATAAATATTATTTAGCTAACATAAGTATTTTAATATCACTTGTACTAATATAACCCTTTAATTTCTTGTAATTTTACATAGTGAGACACTAAGTGACTAATATATGCCTGACTTTTGATTTATTTCCTTCAATTAGCTATTGAATTGTAAATGTATTTTAAAAGTTGATAACTTTTGTATTTCTTATCGGTTTTACATATATAATATATCAAATTAATCATCTTTTGATGATCTTCGATTTGACATTCATATTGTATATATTTAAATAAATAAATTATATTTATATTTATAATAATAAAAAATAATTATATTTATTAAAATTCATTAGAAAATAAAATTATTTCTCAATTGATATATTTATGTTTAATGTAGTTATATGTTGTAAGTTAAAAAAAAATTAATATAATATAACACAGGTAAATCGCACAAATAAACAATGTCATACTAAATATATAATAATATATATTTTTGTAAAAGGTATTTAAATTTTTAACTATTTTTCTCATTAATTTTATATTTAAAAAAAAATAGCAAACACCCGAGTAATACACGGGAATCGTACTAATTAGTTTATAAAATAAAGTCTATTATTGCAACAAGTGATAATATATTAATTAATGAACCACGTGTTATTGCATCAAACGGATTTTTTTTTTTTTTTTTCGCCTAAAGCTAATAGAAGACAAACTTCATAAATGGATTTAAGACAACATTTGACTCAAACCAAAATTATATGAAGTCATTAATGATTTTCTTATGAGTCATCCACCATAACGTATTGATACTTGTCTAAATTGTATTTATTGTAGAAAATGTGTCAATACATTATTAGTGAATAAATGTGGATGACTCCATAAGTCGAGTCATCCGATGACTCCATAGCAAAATTGTTGACTCAAAAGTGGCCCGAGGCAAGTTTGTTACATGGATGGAATATATATTTTGGTATGATGACGTCGTATATATATACTTATATAAAAAGATATTCTATTTACTAGAATTAGTAGTAAGAAAAGTCAAAGTTAATTAATGCATTCTATTTACATCAAGTATTTTATTTAATTATTTTAGTTAATTGTTTTATCTCATAACACATTTTCAATACAACTTACCGTGATTTTTTTATTGTGATTAAAAACCAAATTTTACGTTTAAAACCTTGTGAAATTATTATTATTATTTTATAAAGCACATATTATTTATTAAAAAATTATATATATAATACACATCACAATACCATGGTAGATGATTTACATTTCAACCGACCAAAATGCCAATGATTTAAATTTGAACACACCTATGTGTTTGACCAATGTCTGGATGATTTAAAATTGAGCCCATAAAAAATTATTTACATTTGAACACACCAGAAATTTTTTGTACTTTTATTTATAAATATATTGAAATTGGTATTTAACGGTTGTTATATAAACTATTTTAATGTATTTGCAATGAATAAAAGTTTGAATGAATAATTTGTAATGTTATTCATAATGTTTGTGACTTATGAGACACGAACACATAACTCCATACATATTTGTCAGATGACGGCTTAATAATTTTTTAGAGTCAACGTTGATTAAAAGAGGTAGAAAATAAATAATAATAACATTATTACTTTTTAGACTTAAACGGACAAAGTTGTGAAAATAACTCATTTAATATATTTCTCTCGTGCATCGTATGGGGTGGGGTACGTACTAGTAGTTTTATATTTTAAAATATAACATAAAAGTATTCATGGTATCTGATAGTATACTATTAGTTTTTTTTTTTTAAAAAAA